TTTTTTTTGCCAAGTGAGTTCTGAAGCATCGACTGCTCACAGGCTTTGTGCTAAGTGCGTGCAAGATCTTGGATACGAGAACTGGATATGAGTTGTCGGAAACGCATAATCATGACGTCATAGCAAAATTGTGACGTCTTGGCGAAATAATGACGTCATCACAAAGTCATGACGTCATAACTGAGTAGAAAGAGAGCGTAGGTCTAGACTGTGATGAGTTCAAATCAGCTTTGAATTGTCGTTTCTTTCCTTGTTATAGAATTTTCGGTTTGATGGAATAAATAATTAAAAGATCTTGTAAGCTTTTGATTATTTTCTTCCCAGCTGTGATATCCTCGAAATTCGAAATGGATCGTCTAGCAGATTTTTTAGTGGTGATTTAACGCCCTTCTACGTTACAACGACGGCCTACGATAAAAACACAGTTATCACGATAGACTTCTCCTCTGACAGCTCTGCAAACGAGAAGGGCTTCATGGCAAATTACACCATTACGGGGCCACCAGCACGTGAGTGTTGATCCTTAGTTGACCAACGTCGAATTTCTCCTTACATTATGCAAACATTGTGAAGCGGATAGGTTATGAGAGTGAGAGAATCATGAACTGTGTGAGGGGATATAGTCTTGATTTGGCAATAAACTCTCAAAAGTGACTGACAATGTATGAAGATTAGCAATTAGAGTTAAGGTTTTAAGGATAGAAATTTCAACCTTGAACCTTTCCTCCGTTATCCTAATAGTGAGCCGAGCGTTCTTAAAACTCTGTCGTTTATTTGTTTATAAGATATTTTGTTAATTTGAACTGATGCTGACTACACTTTCAAACAAACACAAGCTACATATACTGAACTCATATCGTGTTTAATTTAAATGGTTAATTAATTTATTTTCGTGTGTGCTGCCTCTAGCTGTACCAACACCAACCTCAACATCCGCGACGCCAACGCCAACACAACCACCCATTATTGGTAAGTTAAAATATATATTCCTCTTACTAACCGATTTCCGAGGGCCGTACTGTAAGTTACGGACCGAGTTTTTCACCACCAAGCGCGAAGAGCGCGGGCCATAAATCGAGGGGGAAAACGAGAATCCGTAACTTACAGTACAGACCGAGAAGACGAGGTTAGCAAGATATTTATTATATCTCTACTGTGTGTCTAACGGGCTCGGGAACGATTTCTATTCACGCGGAAGGGCTTCAAATTTCTGACGCACCTTGAAAGCAAAACGACTCAACTTGAAATCATTGTTAAGTGACTGTTAAGTCGTTAATAGGTTTTAATACACAATTTTAGAAGTAAAAGAAAGTTCTAAACTTTTACTTGCTAAAAAAGTTACGAACACTTGGCGATATATCACGAAACATTTTGGCAACAAAAACAGCTATAAAATTTAGCGGGCCGTACAGGAGAATACGGCCCGCTAAATTAACCAATCACAGCGCGCATACTAACTGAAAGATATAATAAAAGCTCTTAAATGTTCCTTATCGCATTTTCCCTTGCGTAGCGCGGGAGATGTTTGATAATATAAAACAGGGAGATAATCAATCTCCAGCCAGGCATTTTACAATTTCCATGTTCGATTTCTAGAATGATTGTTTTCGATAATGATTGAGAACCCACTGCTTCATAAAACCGGGTAGAAGGGTGGTCAAGTTTAATTATTTAACGTCTCCTGCTTCTCGATATATATATATATATATATATATATATATAGATAGATAGATAGATAGATAGATAGATAGATAGATAGATAGATAGATAGATAGATAGA